CCCCCGCCTCCCCCCCCCCCCCCACACACACCCAGTGACCCCTGCTCCATGCCCAGATGATTACCAAAAACCTTCAGGATTTCCAAACTGGCCTGGAGAAAAAATCGCTTGCTGACCCCAACGTGGCGATCGGCATTTCCCTGGGCGTGTAAGAAAGGGCCACGAGGACTGAGGCCACCCTCCCTGCCCTCATTTAATTTACAAAACTTGTAGCCCACCTTTCTGCCCTTACAAACTGAGAGCCGGTTTGGTTGTAGTGGTTAAGAGCGGCGGACTCTGATCCGAAGAACCGGGTTTTGATTCCCCACTCCGCCACATGCAGCTGCTGGTGTGGCCTTGGGTCAGTCACAAGTTCTCCGAGAGCTGTTCTCCCAGGAGCAGTTCTCGAGAGAGCTCTCTCAGCCCCACCTGCCTCACAGGGTGTCTGCTGTGGGGAGGGGAAGGGAAAGGAGATTGTAAGCCGCGCTGAGACTCTTTCAGGTAGCGAAGGGCGGGGTATGAATCCAATCTCCTCCTCCTGTTCCTCCTCTTCCTCCTCTGAGACTCCAAGTGAAGTGTGGGATATGAATTCAATCTCTGTCTCTCTCTGTCTCTCTCTGTGTGTGTCTCTGTCTCTCTCTCTCTCTGTCTGTCTCTGTCTCTGTCTCTCTCTGTCCTCTCTCTGTCCTATCTCTGCCTGTCTGTCTCTCTCTCTGTCCTCTCTCTGTCTGTCTCTGTCTCTCTGTGTGTCTCTGTCTCTCTCTTCTGCTTGCCCGGCCCTAGGTGTCCAGATGGCCCAGCGGGCGAGGTCGGCGGGAGGCGTCCTCCCGGGAAGGACCCAACGGTGAGCCCAGCCCCCCGGCCCCCCCCCCCGCACAGGGTCCCTCTCCTGCCTCCCCACGGCCACGTCGCACAGTCCGCCCCTCCCTAGGGAGGAGGAAAGTGATAAAACGGCCAGTTGCCAGCTCTCCAGGGGAGCCCCAAAGACCCCCTGGAAGCCCCGGGTCAGGCTCCCAGGGGCGCCAGAGGGGGGCTGGGAGGGGCTGCCCCGCCTGACCAGGGCCCAAAACGGGGACAGTGCTCGGAGGCAGTGGAGTGAGATGGCCCCTTCAGGTGCCAGGTCAGGCAGAGGAGGGGTGGGGCAGAGCGGGGCCCACCAGCTGACGCAGGCCCCGTCCACCACACTTCCTGTATAACCCTTTAGGCCAGATTTACTCTTCTCATTCAGTGAATTATCTCCAGCTAAATTTGGGCCAGTTAGCAGTACCACCAAAATTTCACTACTGTTTTTGTTGCATTTGTGTGGACAGTGGATATGGGCTGAGTGGATGTAAAAATCTGGGTCTTCCAAGTCCAGCACTTGCCATTAGACCACACTGGCTCTAAGAAGGGGTGTATGTGATATTTATGGTTTTAATATCACACCGTCTGCTGTGTAAGGAAAGGTGGTGTCAAGGCAAGAGACATTCAGAGGTGGTTCTAAGAAAAATTAGTCTACAAATATTTTAAATATGAAAGAAAATAGTTCATGGCGCTCATCCGTATTGATCTGTAAAGAGGTAGGATTATGATTTGGATCTCTACAAAAAGAATGACGAATAATTGAAGAATATGTGTATTCTCTCTGTTATGTGTCTGTCTGGGTATCTACAGATTTTAGTTAAGGGCAGACTCCATATACCTTCTGCAAGTCTGGTAGCCTCCCATTTTTGTTTAAATTCCATATTCCCATTAAAGTCTCCAGACATCCTCTGCTGCCTGTGCTGTTTTTAAAAATGTGGACGCATCTCAGAAAGGAGATGGAAGAGCTGGAGAATGTGCAGGAAAGAGCCATCGGAAAGGGTCAAGGGGGGGGTCAGAGTGCCCGCCCTCTTGAGGCACAGCTGAAGCATCGGGGGTTTCTTCCACTGCAATCCTCAGGACGCTTTCCTGGGTATATCTGCAGTTTTGCTTGTAGCAAACTAAGCATTTATAACTTTCAAATTCCATAAATAGCATATAAAATTGCTCCTGTTAGAGGCTACAAGGGGCGGGACCCGCGATACTCGCGGGGGGGGAGGGACCTCCACAAATGAGGCAGAGGAGGAAGCAGCAGGAGGAGGTAAGTTCCACCCCATTCCGCCGGTTCCTCCCCCGTCTCCACCACCCCTGCTCGATCTCCCCCCCTTGCCTTCCCTCCCCCCCCCAGCTCCGAAGCGAGGCCCGAACGGCTTGCCGTTCA